CAGAAACTCCCAATTGACCGGTCGGATTCCTGCCTGAGTGTGCGATGGAGTTTCGAAAGTTCACTTTCCCCTCCTTGCCCTTCTGGGTCTTGATCCACTTCCTGGCAAGTCCCAGGGAGAAAGGTAACTACCTGCTCGTTGAAACCCTAATCTCCATAAGCCGGTATGTTTTCCCAGTTTCCATCTAATTGTCCATTTCCTTTTCCAATTGACTTCCAATCATTGGGCTTCTATCCCTAGCCCTAAGGTTCCAAGTCCTCAATTATCATTTACTTGCCCAACACTTGCACTACAATTGCTACTTCCCAAATCCCAAGTACCAAATTTTGCGTGCTTGGACCCGTAAGGTAGGCCAGTTTGGGCATTGGGGGCTTCGAGGTGTTCGGTTTCACCTACTTGGCGAAATGTGTAGCTACACGCATACCGTGCTGGTCTGTCTGTCTGTCCGCGAAAGGTAGCGCAAGCTGAACATTCCCTGGACGTCCAAATCTAATACGGGGCTATATGGGGGTAACTAGCGGAATGGAAAAGAACATGGAAGCTACTAGTTACAAGGTTTATAGAGTTTAGGGATATCACCCTCCAATAATGGAGACCCGAATGGAAAACACAAGGGGCATTTGAAATGGAAACTCGGGCGGTATGGGGGTTGTATATCGAGGGCTACAAATGATACCTGCATTCGGCCCCCTAAAGTCCTTAAATTTTGCCTACTTTGGGGTTCCTTCGGGATTGGGGGATTGTGTGCTCTTCATCCAAAGTCGAACTGCTCTGTTGGCAAATCTGATTGTTGGTGGCCCACGACGTGATGCCCGAACTTTCCCCCGCGATGTATCCAGTTTGTAGATTTTGCTGCAGGGGCACGCTCTGTGCATCTCGGGCACAAGATTCTGCACGTTGGTGTGTTATAAAAATTGCAGAAATTGAAGTCCCCTCCTACGCCCACCCAAGCAAAAATGCACTCACTGTATCTATGACGGCATACACATGGAATCGATTTTGCGGACCTCCAACATTGAGATGCTTGTTCACCTGGCCATACAGAGAAGTATCCACCGTAGCTCCACAGGCCATAAATCGAACAAAGCCCGGGACTCAACAGGCTGAACTCGATCCCTGGAAGCAACAGTGCCCAAACGCCTAACGAGAGGACCACAGCTCAAAAACTAGACATCCATTATCACCGAAACGCGGCAAACCCCTAGCCTAAGAGCCGTGCACCTCAGGCACCACACTGATCTCGTTCCCATGACAGCACAATCCCTTTCCAGGAGGTCCCAGCTTTTCTTGCCGCACTACTCCGACAAGTGTACACTGTAAGCCCCAATCCTGAACCTGGACAGAGGCGCCTAGGCAATGAGACAAGGCTCTTTTTTTGCAGCAGCAAGATGAATCAGACATCTCGATAAACATTCCAGATTCGTTTTGCCCTTGCAACCCGTAAACCTGTGAACCCGAATCTCCAAACCTAGCTGCCGAGCTTCGGGGGCTCACGACGCCAATCTTTTAGCCAACAAGGCTCTTTTTGAATACACATACATAAGCCAACAGGTTATCCTGTAATTCTCATAAGATTCTGCATATGTATATGTATATATATATATACATAGGCATGTCAGAGCCAAAAGGTTGAAGGTTACCCGCCCGCCGACTAAGCCAAATGGCTCACAAAACCTGAAATCCCCTTGGGCTGGCACGGGTAATGTGCCGAAAATGCTCCACCTGAGGTCTCAGCGCAGCTTAGGGTCTAGGACTTGCCCTAAAAGTATACAAATACAACCTACACTGGGCCCGAAAATCTGTAAATCTTACCTACACCAATTTTTTGGCGGCTATTTGGATCCCTAGGGTGAGGATTTCAAGTTAAGACTCGGAGCCCTACTTGGAGGCCCGTGGGCACGTTGAAGTGTGTCTGCAGAGTGTGGAGTTGCATAATCTTGGGGCATGGAGAGGAAAAATTGTCCAAACAGGATCTCTCACGATCATGATGGGTAGGTCGATGCCATGGCACAGCTTGCCAGAATCCTTCCGATGCATCCACCACCCCCCGCCATGGTATCCCCCCCGCCCTGTGGCCTGTGGTCTGGGTCTTGTCCTGCGGTCCAAATTAAAGTTTAGAGAAGGTCCCCCCCCCGGTGGTCTGGGTCTTGTCTTGCGGTCTAAAGTAAGATTTAAAAAAGGTTTACAATATTTTTCGAGGGTTCGTAATCCCCCCCGTGGTGCTGTGGCCTGTGGTCTGGGTCTTGCGGTCTAAATTGAGGTTTAGAATCGGTTTATAGTGTTTGTAGAGGGTTCATAAACTCTTCCCCCCTGTTGTCCTGTGGCCTCTGGTCTGAGTCTTGTGATATACCTTAGGTTTATGAAGGGTTTGTAGAGGGTTTATAACAGTTTCTAGAGGGTTTTGAACAGTTCATAGA